GTGGTGTTTGTCAGGAACTGCCACCAGTTTTTAATCCATCCCGTAAATTACTCACTTCAAATGTTTCCAAGTGGAGACAAACCTCTCCAGACAGCCCAACACAAGAGGAAAGTAATTTTTACACATGGTGCAATTGCCTGGGTCATTTCTTTGCTGAAAGGGTTCTGAGGCATTGGAAGGGGTTGCCCAGGGCAGTGGTGGAGTCCCCATCCCTGGAGGGATTGAAGAGTCGTGTAGACACAGTGCTGAGGGACATGGGTTAGTCATAGGGGACTGGTCAGTGTTGGGTTCATGGTTGGACTCGATGAGCTTAAAGGGCTTTTCCAATCCAGGCCATTCTGGGATTATTTCAGGGCTTCCATTGTCCCCTCAGATGCTGGGAACAGTGTCCTCTACCCAGTGTTTTCACTTCCCAGCTGATTCCTCCTGTTGCTGTGAAGGGACACGCATCCCTCTCCCTGTCACCGTGTCTCCTGTCCATGCTCTGTATTTATTGTGAGGTCCCAGGAAATAACCTCGAATGGCCTCACACCCACAGCCCTGGCACCTTTCCCTGGGATCTAACCACGCTTGGGGCAAGATGGGTGACTGTGCCTCACTGTGCCCCAGGGCAGACAGCCGTGAGCAGAGCCTGCAGGGTGGGATGAAGGGTCCAAGCAGGACAGGGAGAGCAAATGCCAACACGGCTGTGACAGAGGGGCTGATCCCAGGGGTGGGGGGAACAAACACTGCGGGAGGAAGGGGAGGAAGGGGAGGAAGGGGAGGAAGGCTCTCACGCAGAGTCTGCAAGGGGAGCTCTGGGTGTTGACAAGGGGACTCCCCCCCAGAAAGGCAGAAATCCCTCCTGCAACTCTCAGCGCTGGCGCCACGAGCCTGGACTAGAAAATAAACCCGTTAGAGGGAGAAATCCTCCTCATCCATTTTTGTCACTAAATAAGATGGAAGGGGGATTTCTGGGAGGAAAGGCTGAGCCCGGTTGGAGGTTACTGCTGCTGAACACTCGCTTTATGGGGGGGTGAGAAATGCTCCCATGGATTAGAGCAGACGGTTCCTCCACGGGAAGGGGCCGTTGTTGCTTTGTCAGCACGTTGCTGGACTGTCCCTCGAGGACCTGCAGGACTGGGGGGTGGAAAAATCGCTATTTAAGGTGAGAAATAGAGAAATTGTGGAGAAATCTCTATTTAAGGTGAACCAAGGAAGGAGTGCCAATAAAGAAGCTCCCCCATCAAGAGCTCCAGGTCTGGGAAGTAATTTCATACAGAGACCTCCCTGGGCTGAGGTGGAGGGTGGCTGTGGTGGGGGGACATGGAGCTGCTGGTGTCCCCAGAGCCGCTCTGCTCCGCGCTGCAGCCAGCACCCTTCATCGCTCCTCGTGCGTGCTGGGTGAGGCGCTGCCCTGCGATGGTTTACGTGCAGGGGGGTATTTAGGAAACAAACAACAATATTCCAGGGTGGTGAGGAAAATCTGGCTGGGAGATGGGGGGCTGATGCTGGGCAGCCTGGGTGGGACGAGCGTCACCAGTCACAGGGATGGGCAGCACGGCTGCAGCGAGAGGCACTGGGCAGGACACGAGGTTGGCTCCTCTCTGGCAATGCCACCGCACCAGGCCATGGATTATGGTGCAAGGGCAGGCAGGTGACAGGCAGCGTGTCCTTGTCCCCTCACTCAGCACAGGGGTCTCCAGTCCCCCAGTTCTGGGGCTTTGGGGGTGTCCCTGCTTGTGCCAGTGGTGAGCAGAGAGGGAAGGGGCCAGCACGCCTTTCCCAGTGCCGTAGAACCGGGGCTGCTTTGTTTTCCCATCTGTGTGACACGCAGCGGTTCCTCCTCGTGCCGTGCAGGGGACATGGGGGATCCCGGGGACGGAGCATCGTCTGCCGGGTAATTAGCAGCGCCAGGGGCTCTGCCTTTGGGAGCGCGCGGGGCAGGGGCCGCTGGGCTGGGCGGGCTGGCAGATGGCCTTTTTTTTTAAGCCATTACCAATAATCCAGAGTCTTTCTTCAAACGTGACTGATGTGGAAGCGCCTGGCCGGTGCTGCGGGAGGAGGGAGAGCTGTGCCTGTGCCAAGACCGCACGCGCCAGCCCCAGCCGCTCCTCACGGCCTCCCCATAAAATTAACTCGAGGTGTGTTGCTTGCTGTGCTCCCTTGCATGTTAATGCCTTCGGTCACTTGGGTTAGCAGCAGCTGTGCCTGGGACGGGGATACACAGCCCAGGACCTGGAATGTCCCTCCTGCTGATGGGAGACCCGGCTCTTCCAGCCACCGTGCTCGGTCCCTACGAACCTGCAGCAGGGTCAGCTGCCCCACAACCACGCTCAGGGAATGGGGTCTGTGCCTGGTCACCAGCCCTAAGGATGGAGCGAGGAATGTGCTTGGGATCGCTGGTCCCCAGGAACCACCTCTGCCATGCTCCAGCAGCCGCTCTTCAGTGGGAGCTGAGCCAGCTGCAGGGACATCTCCTGTCCCCACCATCCTCTGACCCAGAGAGGAGAATCCTCACCTCCTTTATCAGAAAAAAATTCTTCATGGAAAGGGTTCTCAGGCACTGGAACAGGCTGTCTAGGGCAGTGGTTGAGTCCCCATCCCTAGAGGGATTTAAAAGCTGGGTAGATGAGGTGCTCAGAGATCTGGTTCAGTAGTGGGCAGGTACGGTTGGACTTGATCTCAAAGGTCCTTTCCAACCAAAGGATTCTATCCTGTTCTATTCCTCTCCGGATGGCACCGGCCTGCAGTGGGCACGGCTCAATGCTGGGCACTTACCCTCTTGGAAACCCTTCTCCTTCCCCACCTGCTCCCCCAGCTGCACACCACCACCAACCCGCTGGGGTGGAGCGCTGCAGACAAAAGGTTGTTTATCAGGCCCCGCGCAGCCTCTCCCGGCGCTGGCTCACTTTAATTAGCCCCATCAAAGCCGGCTGCGTCTCTCCCTCCTGAAAGGTTGCAGAACATGATTAATTCAGGCACAGAAAGCAGCCGCCTCCTGCAGAGAGGGGCCCCTCTGATAAGGCCAAAGCTGTTTCCTGTCTCCAAGTCTCTCAACCCCATGCAGTGAGGTTGGGGGCTCCTTTCTCCTGGGGCAAAGCTGTGGATGGGCTCAGGCTGCCCCAGAAGCCAGAGGGGACAAGCACGAGTGATGGTCTCACTGAGTGCTGGGTCTCCTTCTCCATCCCACCCACGCTGAGAGCGCAGCCGCCGTCTGCTCCGGTCACGGGGATCACCCACTGCCCATCTGTGGGTCTGCATCCACCAAAACCCCCAGCATTTCGGGGGGATGACACATCCCTGCTGGGTCTGGGCTCACACCAGCTCTTCCAAACACAGGGGTCCACGCAAGGGATGCGGGGCATGCTCCAGCTGCCCTCAGTGCCAAAGTTCTATGGCTGGTCAGTCCTCCCCACTCCCACCTGCGTGCAGCCCAGGGTCGCAGACGTTGTAACTCACTTTTATGAGCTGCAATTGTAGGCAAAGGGGTTTTAAAAGGAAAAAAAAAAACCTCTGGGGAAAAAAAAAAAAAAAAGAGAGATAGAGAGGGGGATCACTCCCCCCTTTTTATCTATGCCAGCACGGCTGCACGCAGCATACCGATGACATCCAATGCCCCGGAGAGCCAATTACCACAGCCAGAACCAAAACGGGGCTGTTCTCCACTTAAATTTTCTTAATACAGTCACATCGCCTCGGAAAAGTGCTGCTGCTCAGGGGAAGGCACAAAGCAGGTTCCCAGCAGGACTCCTCC